GTATTGAGCGAAATTATTCAGGACTCTGAACTTTGAGTAGTCGTTGCCGCTTGATTCTTGAAAAAAATGCCAGGAATCCCAAAAAACGACATAGCTCCTCAGAACTTCCTCGGCCCGAGACATTTTCAAGAAAAAGTGAGTTCAATCGAATACGAAGGAATACGTCATGTGACGGAGTTATCATTTTTTACAGTTATCATTCTTTAAGACAGTATTGGCGCACAGTTGCAGTGATGTTCAAGTGGACACATTTACAAAGGCCTTATTTAAGGAAAGCTAATGAAAGAAAGAAATCTGCTCACCTCCATGGTCCTAATTTGATGGCTAGTTGGATCTCCAGAGGGTAATCGAACATGTTGCTGGAAGATCAAAGAAATATGGGACGTGAAAAAAATCGTAATCTCTAGGTACAATAACAATGAGACAAGAGTAAAGCATAAATCTGCAAGAAGACTGAGATTGCTATCACTTTGGAAAAAAATTGTGTGATATATTGCAATGCTGGTGGAACAAATACGAATACGTCCAGCAAAATTCACTAGGGTCTTTTGAATTACCAGTTTGGTTCTAAGACGCCACTATAATTATACGAGGGTTACAACCAGAGTCAACCCTGCGTTGCGCAGTTTTCAACGGCCACGTTGCGCAGTTTCGCCCGATTAGACACGTTCTCTCGCGCGAACATTCACACTCGCATGCTCGAGCCGTCTGTGTCTCCGCCCATACAGCGTGCGTTGAGGATCTCTCAACGTGCCGTTGCGAACTGCGCAACGCAGGGTTGACTCTGGTCCACTGGCCTAGTTTGGGCCGCATATTGCATGTTCTGTTCTACTTTTCTATGATCTTACAAGGACAGAAGGAGGACAACGTTTTCAACAAGTGTGAGCGAACATTGTAGCGTAAGAACTCTTCGAAGAAATTTAGCAGGAAGATCTCACCTCTGGCCGCTTTTGACTACCGTGACTACTAAGCATCTCCTCCTCCATAACGAAAGCTCCAGTGGGCGAGTGGACCTAAAGGTTAGGGGAGGATGAATGATCGGTTATTCTCACCATAAAGAACCCAATCTTGAAACAACAAGGCCGCTCCGTAGAACCGTAGGATCTCTGATGGATGCGTCCAAAAATCGATTTCTCGAGAATTAGCAACTTTTGCGATGTAGATTTACTTGTAAATGACGAAGAATGGAGAGAACCAAATGGGATCGAATGAAAGAATTTGGGAAAAAATAAAAAATTTCAAATAGCCGTTAGTGTTTTGGAATCCGTCCCGAAATGATGACACGATCAGCGGACAGAAACTTTTGCTTTGCCGCGCTCATCCTTCTACCGGATTCGCCCACCGCCCTATTACGACCACAAAAATACCGAAAACGACACTCCTCTCTCGCCATCGAGGTGAAATACAGTACCTCCCATAACTTTGTTAAAAAAGACGCGGAAGACGCGGATCCGCGTCTTTTTCGTCTTTTTGCTATAATTTGATTTCTGATCGCTTTTCGACATGAAAAACTATACCATTAGACTCAGCTCGTCGAGTTCTATAAGAATACCCTCTCAGATTTTTGAAAATTTTTTTTTTTTATTCCAATTACCTAAGGGCGGAAGTGGTGTAGTGGCAAGTGGCACGCTTACCACGCGAGCGGTCCGGGGATCAAATCCTGGGTCGTGAGTCGCCCGGGCCAACCAAGCCTTCCATCCCTCCGGGGTCGGTTAATTGGTACCAGACTTGTCTGGGAGGATAAAAACACTGACTTGTACATCGGCTGGCCCCCGCAAGTCATTGTATAGGCCACATCGCATTCAAACGCCACTACGAATGTACAAATGGAAGTAGAATGCGTGCCGCATCCCAAAAAGGGATTGATCAACGGCAAATGCTTTATCCTTTTTATCCTTTATTAAATTACCTAAGGCTACTCATTAGCGAGCGTCGCTCGCTATACGTTGCGTTGTTCTCACACTTCCGCCTACCATGGCTTAAGAAGACGGTCCTGGACCAGGAGAATGGACACCTCTGCATAGGGCTAAGGGTGGAGGAGCTCCAGGGTGGATCACCTGTGGATAGGATGTGGGCAGGTAGTGTGGAATGTAGGACATCCACCGGTCCTTATCAAAAGTACGCTCGAAATGAGTCGTTCACTTATTATCTTATCCGTAGTGTTCGATAGCCCAAAGAACTGCTCTCTAGTACTACGGATAAGATAGCATGAAGTGGCTCCCCAAACTGGATTTTCACCATTGACATCATAGAGTCAACAACCTAGCCTACGGAGAGCTAATTCTCAGTGACTATTAGGATGGTAAGAAAGTCCTGAGCCGTTTGACACTTTTTTTTGCTTTACTTTCCTATTCCACGAAAAATGGAATTAACTCAACAATATAATTCATTGTACTTCAATACAGAGTCTCCTGAATCGGGCGAGAGGTCGGTAGACCCTTCCTCGGCAAACTGAGCGAAGTTGAGTGCAAAAAAAAACGCTGACCGCTATTTCAACGTTTCACTTTGGATAGAATTTGTTCTTCGCTAGGAAGGGGAAGAAATAAGTGATAATCAGAGAGGGCAAGGACAGGGGAATAGGATGGGTGGGGAACTGCGTCTGAAACCAGCTCTTCCAATTTTGCACGGGTCTCTTTTGGTATGCGTTCGCTAGTTTCTGGAGCTGACTGGCCGTAAATATTGCTAGTGCCGGAACGGTATGCCTTGCGCGGGGGGCACAGATCATTCTCTATACCACGTTCCCTGCGAGATGGACAGAGCAGCAAAAGAAGACAGCTTTTGGGGTGAAGGTCCGATTTTGCTTGTGTCGGCGGGTCTTCTCCTCGAGGGAGCCACACGGCACTGTGCTTGTTAGAATCGTAGAGGACCCAACTCTCATCTCTCGTAATCATGCCTTCCAAAAACTCCTTTCGGTGCGGACGAAGAAAGAGAAATTGCAACAAGCAAAAGTTCTGGAGCTTTCGAAAAATCGGCTCAGGACTTTCTTACCATCCAAGTATATCTGGTCGCAATCTGGAGCACGCTTAGATGGAGCGAGATTCCAGTGACACCAAGGGAGTGAAGTTCGGTCCTTACACAGCGAACTATAAGATATTTATCGCGGAATCACGCGATTTTCCACTCTTCGATTTACTGAATTGGGTGGTCAACCGATGACCACCCAAGGCGATCGTGATCGCGCGCCAAAAGAGTGATATAAAAGGGAGCGAGAAAAGGCCGAGAGCCCAGTTTTCTCTAGTTCCTTTTCTCTCCTAATAATTCCTGCGATTCTGCGACACTGCAACACCGCAAGTACCCTAAGCGCCACTGCGACTATGCGATTACGGTATCACTGTTGCTGTCATCGGCCTCATTATTCCTGTCACGATAGTCTAGTCTCATTGTCTCATTATTGCTATCATCACTGTTGTATCTAGCATATTTGTTGTCACTATTGTAACCACCTTCCTCTCATTGTGATAAGAATACTCCTTTGCGATAACGATCCTTTGATATACTGATCAATCTTCACGTTTTGACTTCTTGTTGTAGTTCACATCATTGTTTCGTTACTTGTTCTGTTTGTCACTTGTTTATTTCTTAGTAAACGTTTAATTACCCAAGTTTGAGGTAACAAGCCCGCGTGGCACGATACACACACAAGCAAGGTTTCGATCACCCCCACCCTATTCGTAATAACTTCGTATAGTGCGTGTGAAAAAACTCAAATCTTTGATGTGGGGGAAGGTTGGTTGATGAAGTGGATGGGGTTTTTCATTAAATAACCGTGGGATAAAGTTTCGTGGTTTACGCTCTGGAAGTATGCGTGTGACATTACTTTTGGATCATTCCCTCGCTACGGTAATATGTGATGGAAGTCAAACAGTGATTGCATCAATGAAGCGGTGAAGGTGAACTGGGAGATATTATTCACAAGTGGGTTGAATGACTCATTCAATCAGATTGGAATTCTGGAGGATTAAATGGGAATCGTGAGCCGAAATTCTATAAATCACTACCAAAAAAAACCCAAAAAAAATGCGAGAACCTCATATTATAGGAGGAAGTGAATATTATACGCTAGAAAAGCTAATTTATACATGAACTGCGGCAAAGAAGATCTTTATCGGATTTTGAAATTTCTTCACTCTTCGATTGCCGACGCAGAGTTATATCGGAGCGCATATCGGACAACGTTACATTTCGAGGCATTGACGGAGGTATCTTCGGATTCTTCAGAAGCAGCAATTCTAAAAATGGGCGACATCATGTTATACTTTCTCATAACCTCCCCCTCGATTCGTTCGCAGTTTCCATTTCTTTTATTTACTTTAGAAACATTGAGTGGTAGAACTAAGAGTCCGGGATTGCCGCGTCTCTGCAAGGCGTTCTTCAGAGAAAATGCAGTTGGTACGCAAGCAAGTAGCACGTACGCAACCTTTGGGATGAGTTGAGAGTTGCCCTTAGACGGGGGCTTTAATTTCGTCCTTGTCGATGGTTTCGTCCCAGTTCCTCAATACTGCCGTTAGACTTCACACTGTCTTTCGCGAGCGTGATATTATATAGTTCGATGCGAACATGGGCCCCCAAGCCCGACGACAAGGGTTTGTTTGAAAGCAGTGGAATTCTTAGGAGTTTGATCACGATGAGAGTCTACTGGGGTTGAGTGAGAAGTGGCTCCGACGCACTCGGATCATCTTCCAGCTACAATGGACTGTGCTTAAATGGCAACGGAATTGTGATAGGCCTTGAAAAGTTTAATGTATTCTGTATTTCAGTCTCCCCCATTGCTATATGCTCGGTAAACATGAATTGATTTTACACGCAGAGAAAAAACGCTTTTTCGATTTCGCAATAGAGGTTTTCATTGGAAAGTGCTAAAGTGGCCCCAAAAATGGTGGGCATTATAATGTGCTGCCGATGAAACGAGAGAGCGGGGGGGGGGGATAAAGCGATATGGCCATGAACAAAAATTCTTTAGATTAGGCCGTTGCGTTCCCATTGGGAAAGGTTGAACCATGTTTGTTCAGATGATTTTATCAAAACAGTGGTCGGGTTCGTCAAATGTGGAGAGGCAACAAAGCGTTTCCTTGAAAAGTGAATGTTTACAGAAAAAAGTGCGGAGTCTTGGAAGCTGAGAGTAGGAATGGAAGGGTGTGCACAGGTAAAAAAACCGAGAAAATATCTGAAAGCCCGCAAAAAAAATGGAGGAGGAAGGGGATACATACATTTTCTGGAACATAATATTACACAGTGAAAAACTGAGGACCAATGTTACTTTACTGTGATATGTTAGTGCCTAGTAATATAACTAGGGAATTAGCAACATAGTGAGAGAGCTACTAAAGTGCAAAAGCGAATGGGGAGTCACATCAAGGTTCACAGAATTGTTTTTCAATTAGTTATTCGTCTGCTCTCGTCCTTAAAGGACGAATTCACGATTAGAATGAAGGTCGAAGAAGGAGTAATTCACCTAGTTGAGGGACCCGCGGACCTCCTAAGGGTGCGGACTGAAGCGCAATTGGCACCGAAGGAGTTGACCTCGGCGACCTATTAAGGCTCAATCTTGGCGCGGTGGGCCAGTGCACGCCCACCGATCATCTGATCACTCGCCGCAGGTCTATACGTGGCGAGTGATTAGATAGGTGAGAGAGCGTAGTGTTGAAGAGGGCACAGCGATGATAGTCGCATCAATGCTCAAATCAACGGGCAAGGAAGGGGTCCCATTTCTCAGGTTCTGGGTCCTTTTGCATGGTATTTCCTTCTTTGGTGTACCACTCACCATCGCTAAGGTACTTTGAAATGGGTTGCCTTTCCAGCGTGAATTTCCTTAGTTGGCTGACCTGTTGCAGATTACACATTATTTATAGATCAGACCACTGTTTTTCGCACCACCACGGACTTCGCGACGAAAAACCCGAAACTCCATCCCCATTCTTTTCTCAACATACGCCTCAACCGTTCGAAATCCCAACAGACGATCGAACCTGGTTGTGAGTGTGAATAT